CATTAACGGCTCACTATTATTTGTTTTTCAAAATATGAATTATTCTTTTTGACTTGAAATTTCAAGGCGTTTCGTTGATTGACTTTTTCATGTTGGTACAACAGGTTCCATGAATTACTATTAATGACATCTTGCTGCTAATCAGGTATATTTCGTTGAGAGAGGGAATTGTTGTTTGAAACTTCATATTGCATTTTTAATAAAAATTAAATTTTTCATTAAAATGAAATGTTCCACGCAAGTCAGTACCCTTCTACGAAGAGTAGAAACCGAATCGACGGATGTACATTACAGGTAGACTTTGACTTACGAAGTTCACAAGGATTCTATACCACTCGCAAGCGGAATATTCATAAGTTGAAAAGAAGAGCTACTCTACGATGCGTTTCGCTGAGAACAGTGTTGGCATACCGATATGGCAAGTGACCTTTTTTACATATATCTGTGAAAATATTTAAATAGAATATTTATCATTACGAGTGCAAATAACTCCATTTGGTATTATAGGGAGGAAGGTCAGGATGAATTGGACGATCTTCCTGGTAGAACTTCTTCTTCTTCTCCTTCTCCTTCTTCTTTTTATTGTTCCCCCATCATGACATGTATTATGGTAAAGTGAATCGACTGATTTACTTGTGGTAATTTGGTCACTCTTCTCTACAACAATATTTGTTGTCGAAATTTTTTTTACTTGTATTTTTATTGAAGGAATGGCCGCGCTCGTATCTGTGAATTCTCATAAGTCGAGCTCACAAAAATCGAAATTTGAATGTCGTGTATTGAGTGAAAAAACACAGCACTAACCTCCAACACGCTGCCATGCATTTTGGATCATTCGCGTAGTGAAAGCGACCCACAGTGCGGTCCCCGCAGCAGCTGCCGCCCGCCACGCCTAAGCACGGCCGTCAGTCTTTTCCGCCTTCCCTCCGCCGCCTCGCGCTCCCTCCCCCTCCCTGCCCCCTCCCGGCGCGGGTGCGTGTTTTTGCGACGGAGCGCTAATGCGTGGCGCTTGCGTCGCTAACGCGGCCTAACCCGCTCTAACGTGGTCGAACGCGCGCCGCCCCGACGCGGCCGCCCGACGGACGCTCGTGACCGCCGCGAGGACACTGCAACCGCCTCCCTTTTCCCAACGCCCTCCACAGCGCCCCCGACAAGGTGGGCGTTTGTTAATTCATTTGGGGACGAACAGGCTTTAGCTACTGCGTGGCGGTGTGAGTATGTAGGAGCACTTTTTTCGAATGAACTACCTGAGACGAATTTAATTGTCGTTTAAATGCAGTCGTAAAATTTCAAGACTGCTCTTTGGCACATCTACTAAATTTAAGAAAACATATTACTACTATGTGCTCCATACGTATTTACTTTCTCCCTACGGAGTAGAGAGAAATTGTGTAGCGCTGCGCCAAACATTTTTCTGGGGAATTTTCGACAGAAAAACACTTTTTACATAGCCCTGGAAATGAAAAAAATGGATAAATACAGTTGTTAAATTTAGATGGGGATTCTCTACCATGTGGCGTAGCCAGAATGGGTCTTGGTACGAAAATGGAATGACGGCAAAACAGCTGTCCAACCGTCCGTCTGTGAACAACGCAATTAGCAGTTCAACCGTCTGGCTGATGTCGCGGCTCTTTGAACTTGACACCGATATTATAATTCTGGGGGGTACTTTACATGGGAGTAATTCCAAATTTTTAAGCAAATGGTTTCATCGTTTTTGATTAAATTTCGTTGTTGGATAATGTGAAGGACGTCTAAGAGAATGGGTTAGGTGTCATGTTCGTTCAAAATCCTCATATTTTGAAAACTGCTTTAGTTCAAAGTTTTTCGGAACCTTCCAACAACTAAAATATTTAAGATAAAATTTTTTCTTTCTAAATGAAATCTATTCGCTAAAGATGGATTTTGAAATAAGGTCATGTTTAAGTTTTCGAAATTTTAAGTACTTTTTACGTAATTTTACTTTAAAATGCGGGGGGAAAAGTAAGTACTGCTTTTGCACCACTAGTTTCAAAGGTGAGATATGAAAACTTCTTTACTCACTTACGTACTACTTATCTGTATGTACCGGCACATCTGCATTTAATGGGGCGAAGGCCTACCAGCAGCGTTCCGACCTTGCGCACATGTGTTCCAGTACATGCGGTTAACACATACTGTTAACACACACCTACGTCACGCGAGGTTCCCGGGCTGTCACCCAACCCGGTACGGGTGGGGCACGGCGGCGCCTATCTCTGACGAGATCCGGTGCTTTCACCACGGAGTGGGAGTTGGCACTGTCCATTCGTACTATATTTAGTTGTTCGTTCAACGCATTTCCTTGCACTGGACTTTTCTTCACTTTGTTTTGTGGTCGCCGCGGAAGAGGCGTTCTTTGGTATCAAAGGCGCTCAGCCCCATTCAGAGGAGCGACAGACGGAGTAGAGCGTTGCTTGTCGCGGATTCGGAAGGCGGTGAGTGTTCCCAGTTGCGTTTGCCTGCACCCGATTGCTCACACGGAGTGGCCAGCACGCACAAGGGGAAGGCGATGTCTTTCGGCCCCTTCCGTAGATAGCACTTACGTAAGTCGCTGTTCGCCTTTCGCCAGGATACGAGACTCCTTGGGGTAATAGCACATTTGCCAAATCATGACTTAAAGATTATTTTGGACAATTTCTGTTTCATTCACATAAATTCAATTTACAATGGTTTATAGACTTGTAATTATATGTAATACATACATATTGTATTGTATTGACATTGTATTTTTTCCCGGGCTTTTATTCAGCCGTCAGTCGGTTATCCTTTACATCCCGATGGGTCGCACTTTCGACCATACACTAGACACCAGCGCACTTGCGGGCTCCTCTGATCCGGGGTCACAAGAACGCGAGGCCCTCCGCGACAACACCTGAGAGGCAAGGGACAAACAACCACGCCTAAGAAGGGATACGAACCCACGACCCTCCGGACCGAAACACTGAGTCGGTACACGCTCATAGCCATATCAGCTAAACAGGTTGGCACATATTGTATATATTGTATTTTGTTCACACTATAAACATTTCCTTCTTAGAGATATATTCATGGAGATTATCAGAGATACGAAGTAGTTGATTTTTTTCTCCTTCATACAACCACATTGTACTATGTAATAAATATCTTCAGATTTTACATTCATTTTGAGATCTCCCTAGAAGATAGTCCCATCTCGTCCATTGTCATTTGACAAATCCCTACCTTTGTAAATTTGGTCCTAAACCCTTCAGAAGTTAAGCGCTCCCGAACGCCAAAAGTTGTAAAATCTTCAAAATATCTACTGACGTATAAGGATAGAGCCGCCCTAACAGGCGATTTGGGGATTCCGAAATACGACCCGGGGGGACGGCAGGCAGCACTCAAAGCGAACCTATTACGAGAGCGACAGCCGGCCGGGGCAGCTGGACGGCGACCGATGCAGTCGGGACGCGCTCGCCGCAGGCAGCTAGGAGCTTTTGGGGCGCGCGCAGCGGCCGACGCGACGCGACGCGACGGACGAGGGTGGCGGCGCGGAGGTGGGGGTGGATGAGCAGGCACGCGCGCGTGGGTCGGGGGCGTGACGGGCCGCCCGGGGCGGGCGACAGGTGACATGGGGCGGAAAATTTAGGCCCCGAGCCGTAGCCTCCCGCGTGCCACCGCCGCGTCGCCCGCGGGTCGAGTTTCCGGCGCATCTGCGCCCGCCGCCGCCGCCGTCTCTGCGGCTGGCCGTGATGGCGAAGCACTTGGATCTAGGAATCGAACGCAGGCGACGGCTCTTCTAACATGTTTGGACTGCAGAGAGAAGCGTCCAAATGAGGCCGTTTTATGGCAAACATTTAAAAGTATTTCTAAGAAAGCGAAATGTGTATTTTAAAATAGAATTAGAGAAGCTGATGTCTATAATAACACAAGTTGGTACCCAACCCAAAAGATTAAGATTTGATTCCCATTGATTTGCACTTTCTATTCTCATAAATGTTGATGTTTGACACTCCTGATCGTTGGCTAACGCAATTTCTCACTGATATATTTAAATTAATCTAGCATCTGGTGCAAGTTATGTATTGTTCCTCCACCCTACATGTTAAGAACTTGCAATTCTTCTACAAAGATAATAAGAGCAACATAAACCAACTAATGTGTCTCTTTACTTACATTTACTTTCGCTTCTGTTTGAAAATGTTAGTGAACATTGCATCGTTTCGAAACTAGTGTGAAAATTGTTTATATGAATTATGAAACAAAAGTTCCGACGAATGAAGCAAATGCCTTGTGTCATTTGTGACAAAGTTGTCAAATGGAGACAATATATGGAAATGAATTAGTTCGTAGAATAATGCAAATAAAGGCAATACATATATTTCTGTCAGTAGTTTTATCTCGAGCATTTCGTTGGATTTCTCCCTGCAGAGCACTAACATCACCTCCGCCATCTCCCATCACTCGAGCCGCCCCCGCAGCTGCCACAGCCTCACCAGTCTATTAAAGGCCTCCTGCACTCGAGCGCCGCCTCCCAGCGCCCGACCCCCGCGCCTCCGCGCCCTGCCTATTTATAGCGCCACAATGCGTGGCCCCCGGGAGCGCCCGCGGCCGGCCGCCGTCCCTCCGTCCCTTTCTGCGACGCTCCTCGCTGCTCCTCCAACCCCTCTCCACCTCCTTATTCATCTCTTCTCATACATACTTCAGCTTCAACTCGTCCACCTCCAATTCTCATCTTTTCTCAACTCCTATTTCCCTTCCAAAATTATTCCCCTTCCATCACATTTTCCCTTTCTCGCCTATCTCTACCATCTCCATCTCCAGCTCTTCCTCCAACTCCTCACTTCGAACTGTTAGTCGTCGATCTCGTCGTCCTCATTCAAATCGTTATCCTTCACCTAGTCCTCTTCCTTCCATTCAACCTTCTTCACCTCGTCCTTCTCGTCCTGTCTCTCCTGGACGTCATACTCCTTTGCTCCCTTCTTGTCCTCCTCGCCCAATTATCGCAAGTTAATCTTCATTTACATCTCCACTTCTTCCATCTCCACCACCTTTAACTCCTTCATAATCTGTATTTCCTTCTCCAACTCCTGATCATCGTTCTCCCCCTCCACCTTTTCCTCCTCTTCCTTCTCGTTGTTCTTCTTGTTGTCCTCTTTAGACACATTTTTCTCGTCGTCCTTCTCTAATATCCCCACCGCAACTGAAGCTTCTCTTCATTTGCCTCTTCCTCCTTTTCCATCTTTATCTCCTCCTTCTCATCCTTATCGTATCGCCTCTTATTCCTCAATCTCTTCTATCTTGACCTTTCTCCGCCTCTAACCATCCCATCTTCATCACTCCTCCATCTTTCCTCCTCCCTCCCCCTCCTAATTCTCCTCGTCCTCAACTCCAGCCCCAGCACCTTCACCCCCTCCCCTCCCGCATCTTGCTTCTTCCGTCCTCCTGGGCGCGTGCGCGTGCGCAGCCGCCATTATGTTAAGCGCGTGCCGTGTCAACCCTCTGCGGAGCTGCATGGACGTAATGGGCGTCGGACTGCGTGTTCTTGGGATGAGAGGCAGCTTTTTCTTGCTTCATGTGCTGTTGCGCAGTCTGGTCATCGCTCACTGCAATATGACATTGGTCACATCCGGAGAATGCAACTTTACAGCACGTTCAGAAGCACGAGTTCGCATTAGTTGGTCTCTTTGCAACATCCCTATGAAGATTATGTTTAGCCAAAATAACAAAAATATTGATTGGCAATGAAACTTTACGAATTTTGTAATTTTGTTTTATTATTAAAGTTTCTCCTGTGTTTTTCAAATTGTTTCATTTACTTACTCCTGCCCTCCAATTTCATTGTCTTTGATTGATTGATTACAAGTGATTCCATGCGAATCTGTAATTGTATTGCATGTTTTGCTCGTGCGGTGGCGGTGAGCTTGCCTCACAGGAGATCTAGCGCCGATTTACCGTCAGCTGGCGAGATTTTCCCCAACCAGGTATCTTCCACCAGTGGGGCACTGCCACGGTCGGGAACAGCTCCAAGCTCACGACCGGTCTTCCGGCATGTGTGCTAATATAGTCAATGTAAGTGTAGGTAAGGGGAAGAATTGAACAAGAAATGGGAAGGAAATTTCACGCGTGCTCCATGTCTCTTTTGGTAGGATACTACTCCGGCATTCGCCTGGTATTGATCGGAGAAACCACGGAAAACTACCGATCAGAGCAGACGGCCGCTAGAATTCTCTTCCAGATAGTGACTGAATTCAACCTAGCTATCTATCTATGGTCGAACATCGTGTCAATGCTGGGACCCCAATCCCAGCACCTTACGTTGACACTCAATTAACATTGCAAAGACAGGCTTTCGCTTTGAAATAAGCGGTTTTATCTTTTTAGCTAGAATTTCATTGTACATTCAATCTACGTTCTGTGATTGATGCTTATGAAGTTATCTCGACATTGTGAAGAAGATACGCTATGTTGAACGATAGTAATTCAAGGATCACACGATGCATTTCTGTCCATAAATTGACCAAGTAATGCCAACATTTCATTATTAGCTCTATATTTGTTTGAAACTACTATTCATTTATATTAACGTCATTCCGTACACATCAGAATGAATGATTGCCAGAAAACAAGAATTCTTCTCAGCGGCACAATCACGTACGTACAAAAATGCGTAGCAGAAAACATTTTTAAATGCCATCTTTCATGTCACATTCCGAAGGACGTCGGGGCGACTATTTGCAATGGGAATGGCTTGTCTGTCTGTCTCGTCTCGCGGTGTTGCCGGGCGGGGCAGCGCGCAGTGTTAAGGCTTTCTCGCAAGCTGTGCTGCGGCAGTCGCAGGCTGAAACGGCGACAGATGTGCGGACCGAAGAAGAGAATTGGGGTTAATCCGCTGTTTCCACGGTCTAGTTTATAGGTTTCCATTTTTTCCACGTAAGGGTTTCCTTATGAGAACAAAATTTCAACGGCTTTTGAGGAAAAAAGCTCAGTAGGAAATGTAGGGTGTTTAAGAGATTTCCAAGAAAAAATAAACCCCAAACTTACTTGTCTATATTTTGGATTATTAATAAACACAAAAAAATAGAGCATGAAGAAAAATGGTGCAATTCTATAAAAAAAAAGACTGTTATTATTTATCGATGACAGTATTTTCAATCGATGTAATTTAGTTTTGAAATTATAGGCAATCTTGCATTTTCTTAATGATTATTGACGTATTGTTGACTGAATACGGCTTCGAATTACGAAATATGTTGACATTAGTCTCAGTAACTTGACAATTCTATATTTAGGTAAGGTAATTTTATCCAAACTATTGTTCAACTTGTGTCCTATATTGTTGAGTGCTTCTCTTATCGTTGATTTTTGTTTTCAAATTTTGAGCTTGAATGTTTATCCACAAAAATGTCACCACTAATATCACGTAAAACTGACATTTAATCACATAAATACACGCGCATGAATAAATCAGATTTCATCTTTTTTGTGTAAAATGGAATGACTGGATGGTTTCTTCAAAACCAATGATATTGGGTATAGAAACTCTTAAATTTTCAGTATTTTACATGCAGTTGAAATGTTATGTACAACAATTAATTTTAGTATTAGTACGAGAATAGGATAAGTGAATCAAAATTTGCAGTCGAAATATTTCGCTTTAAAAATCGAAACTATTTTATGGTTTTTGGATTCTTCGCGAGGTCTTGGTTACCTAACAAAACCGTGGATACCTTTCACATGGTCAGAGGCAGCAATATTTACTTTCAATTTCTACATTGAAAATTAGTAATATGTGTTCAAAGACACACCTCCACTGCTCTCAGCCATCTCTCGTTTACTTCCTCTGCATCTGTTGCCGCCACTCACACTAAGTGCAGGTCCAGCGGCATCCATCATCGCGTCCTCGCCCAACCCCCTGCCGCTGCATCTGGGCTGTTCTCGGCACGTACGGGACATCCGGTCGCGACAGGGCCCACCTACTTCTCTTGCAGCAGCGGCCACGGCCGTTCCTCAAGGCGACACGCCCCGAACAGAAGATTAGGATCAAGCCGAGAACATCACATCATGGATGGAATACGTTAGTGGAAGTGGACATTTAGAAAAACTCGGCGGAATCGTACTCATGGATTTAATGAAGATGCGGGATTGCAATAGAATTTTAAATTTCTTTCTTTCAATGCGTAATATTGTGCACTGGGATTATAATTATTTTCAATGGTTCGGTTTCTACAAAAATGATCCAGGAAAAGCAGCAAAATATAGAAATGATATTTAAGGCTCTTAAGTTACATTAATTATATAATTTTCGTAATGAAACGTCTGCTGTTTTGATCGAAACTGAATAATTCACTATCATTGATTTCATTTTGGTTCTCTAATGGATAAAATAAATTTTCAGAAATTTATTTTATCCTATAGCTTTTCACGATATTTTTGCGCAATGATTTTGAAACAATTAATTCTCTTAATTTTCTCTCATAATCCGTCAAAACAAGACTAGAGCTGGTAGTAACTATTGAATAAGTTTATGATGATCGTAGGTCATCCAGTCGACTATTCAAAATTCTCAGAGTTGTTAATATCTCTCTCTCTCTCTCTCTCTCTCTCGCTCGCTCGCTCTCTCTCTCTCGCTCTTCGCGTCTCTTCAAAGAAAGGTTGAATTTAAAACCAAACAATAAATTAAGAAGTACGCACATACAAGTACTAAAAAGTCAACAAAAAACTGTACCTAAAAAAGTTACCTCTTCATTTAAAGTATTACTTCATTTTATCTTAAGCCTCAGTATTTCTTCTCCCTCATCCCCCCACCCCTCGCACTCGCAAACATCCTGAGAGGTCCTCCTCCGGAGAACGCACCTCCACAGAGCGCATTCTGGGGTGCTCCGTGCGGTGTGTGCGGAGCGGGCGGGTGCGCGGGCGGAGGCGCGGCGGGTGGCGGGCGCCTGCGTGGGCGGGGCCGTCTGGCGGGAGCGGCGACCGCGCGAGCTGTTGACCGAGCGAGCGAACGGGCGCCCGCGGCGGCCAGCGGGCCAGCGCTCCCCGTCTGCGTCAACAGAGGCGCACCCGCACGAGTCACCGCCGGCGCCACTGAGGCGCGTGAGCCACTGAGCATTGATTACGTGCGCGACGACTTCTATGGTCATTGTACTTCGATTTATCCACTGAGTCCTTTGACGTACATATATTGTTGCGCTGTCATCCAATCGGGAACCTGGCACTTCACTATCTTGAAGTTTAAGCATCCGATTAGATGGCACCATAACATCTAAATATCTGTATAAAATGACACTACGAATAAATCGAATTATAGTCCAGAGAGAGAAGTACTTGATGTATCGCGAGAGGTTGTAGTGATCCTCCCTCACTTAAACGTGACATATGGCAACGATCTATAAGCCGGGTTGCGGGTTCTTAATCCACCTAGTACCTTTTCCAGTAGACAGAATCAGTCAGAATCAGAAGTCAGGGAGAGGAGACAACAAGAATGCTTGCAGTCCGTCTCCCGTTAGCTGGGTATTGCTGCGGAATTCGCGTGTTATTGATCGTAAAATTCACGAAATATTACCTATTGAACCGGCTGAATGAATAATCTCCTAGGCAGTGGTTCAAATCAAATCAGCGAAGCTGTTAATGTTGAAAGTCAGCCACAGTTGAGGTCTCGATCGCGAACCGCGAACTGCCATCCACACCCAGGCCGCCGCTGTTTCACCACTCCCGCACCCCCGCCCTCCCCCGCTGCCCCCACTGCCCCCGCCACGCGCCCCGCCGCTCCCAACCCACCCACCCCGCGGACCTACCACCCACGCAGCATCTGCTCCGTCGCTGTGCCCCCTGTCTCAGCCGCATCCCAAGTACTTGTTGAATTGTAATAGAATTTACTTCCCTCAAAAAACTGAAACAAACACAAGGTAAAAAGTATGATTGCTTTGTGACAGGAGATAGACTTCAGCTACGGACGTCTTCATCACGAAAATCATGACAACACGTTAATTTTTCGCTCGTCGGTGTCACGACACTGAAAATCTCCTGTCTCATCTCTATTGACCTGAGATTCAAAGAATGTACTGCGAGATCGAATGTGGCCTTTCAAAAGGCGATGACCCCTTTTCACCCCTGAACCTACCCAATTGTATTTGCGAAGCGCTGCCTCTGACGGTTCGGAAGAGGGGGTGAATGGTGGGTGAAAGAGGAAGAAAATTGACTTCACATCGGCTGAAGTCGTCACTCTCCGCAACGCTTCTCGTGCATTCGAGATCATGTAAGACGCTCAGCAGTTTACAGGGGACTGCCACTGATACTTCAATGCAGGACTTAGATATGTGAATATCAACTGAGAAATTTTTTACCTTACCATGCAGCTTAGCATATCATATATTACGTATATTGCAGGAGAAGATTAGATAAATTTTGGCAGTAAAAATAAAGGGTAATGTTGTTGGGTCTCAAGGCAAACTTTAATCCTGTGATGCTCAGAATGTCCTGCCGGCGACCATGCTTTTCAATTTCATTTTGTTTGTTCACGTTTCCTTCCTGGATTATACTTGTAGTTTTTACATTCGTGTTGCAGTTAACGTTTCTTGTTTCATAGCGAAGTTTTAATTAATTATCTTCACTTAATAAATGAATTAATTATGGTCTAAGTACACAATTTGTGAGAGGAATTACGATGTCAATTACAAATAATCACACATTTGAACGAAACGATATTTGGAGATCCTAAACAAGTTTTAATGTTGCTGACTCTCATCGACATTTTTTTAAACACATGCCCTCAGACCGCCCTCAGACTAACACCGCAACGATATCCCACTAACACCGCAACGATAGCTACGAAACGTAATATAAAATTCTTTAGGCGGATTACGACATGCAAGTCTTAGCCCTAGTGGGTAAGTTCTACATACATTAACAGGTATTGGGTGTCGTCAGTTTATTTTTACATCCACAAACGAAACTTAAACGAAGAGTGGTGTCGGTTACAGCGAAATCGTGTTTACACACAGCATGCAATATTACTTAATGTCATTTCACAATAATTATTGTACTAACAATTCAATATAAATTTGGCTGACGTACTTTTTGTTGTCATCCCTTTATGCGCCAATTTCTTAGTCTAAAAATAGTATTTTTGTGATACGTGTGCTAAAGTGGCATTTTATTTTGTGAGTGTGAAAGGTTGTGACATGAGGGCGACAGGCCGAGTGGTTACTTTTAGTATGCTGTGCATGCCATAAAAGTAACTGATTTTCTTAGATGACTAAAAAATACTATATTAATAAAAAACATTCAATCAACCATTTAACGATCTTATGGATAGTCTGTCCAGGTATTGCTTCACTAAAAAAATGAACAAACATTTCATAAAATCAAAACGACGAACACGCAAATCCACTTCTAAAGGAACAGGTGTCCTATTTATGAGATATGTGTATAAAACACGTTCTTTAATCCTGTGCGTGATGGTATGCTATAAATTAATCCTGACTTCGGAATGAACTTAATTTTATGAGTCGTGTTTAGTGGTCTATATAAATTATTGCCCATTAATTTGCTAATTATATTGTTTACTAGTAAATCAAAGAAATAATTTTTGCAAGATTTGACGACTATCTATGATGTTAATGGCAGATACTTTTGTGCAAGCTATATAGTCCTCTCGCATTAGAAACCACTTCTGCAGACATACTAGTCAATAAATTGCACAGGGAGAGGAAAAAGGTCATTACAGGAGAAGAAATAATGACTCATTTTTATTTTTTGAAATTTAATAGCGAGTTGTTGAAAACTGAAACTTGCTTGGTAACATCCACACCCCGCAGTTTATTTCTCGTGTTTATTGAGAGCGGAATTTTTATTTCAGTTGTAATATACTGTCGAAGGTTTTCATCCGTGTCATATGCACGGAATGCATGACCTAGTGTAACGTAACTCAATTTCAATTTTCGGAAGTGATATAAATATTGATATAAAGTTTGGTGTTTGTGGTTTAAAACTACCGAACATCGATTATCCTAATTAAGTGGGACATCAACTAAAACGAACTATTCTATTCCATCCCTCGTAAAGCCAAAATTTCAAAGAAAAATATAATAATTTTTGGCCAATATTTTTGATTTGTCACATTTGATTGTTTTATGGTGACCCAAAAAATACGTACGTGGCCCGAATGAAGCGCATGGTTCTATCGATAAGCCCTGACCTAGTGCGTCCCTCGTTGGTTCCAAATTGGAAAATTGATCCCACTGTTTAATTCTCCTGCACGCGTAAATTATCTAAAGAAAGCAGTCTGCAACGAAGCATGCATTTTTGACAGAATGATCGTGAAATATTTCTTCATACAACCTGAAATGTTAGTTAATTTTATAACTTCTAATCACTTTCGAAATTGTATTGCTTATTAAATACCTGAAGATATCGTAGGCTCATTGATCATGATTCATGGTGATGCTTATCGAGTCCTCATGTACCCAGAGAACTGTCCATCAACTTTATCAGGAACATCGCCGCATAAAGCACTCTCTTCCGTTCCCAGAACTCCCGAGCCCGCTTACTTCCCCATCCCACGGGCGAAGCCACACATGCCGGGATAGGAGAAAGGCAGGCGGCCGGGCGGGCGACCGCGTCCAGACTCTGGAGTCCACCGTAATCCTTTGTGTCGTTACAGCGGAGGCAGAGAGTAAACAAAAGCACGACCGCAGCGCCGCCACGTCAGCTGCTGCGCGGGCGAGCCACCGCGGTGCGGCGGGCGGAACCCGCCTTATCGCCCGCGGGGCTGTGGCGGGCGTACGCTCGCCCGCGCGCCCGCTAACAGCCTACCCGTGTCTCGGCGCCCCGCCCCGCCCCACTCCGCTCCGCTCCGCTCCCCGCGGGCCAGGCCGGCCTCTCCTCTCGGCGCGGTCCGCCGCGATTAACTATTGAGCCGGACAGACGGACGTACTTAACCGCCATAACTTAAACATCCGCCCGGGCCCCGCGCCGCCGCCGCCGCCGCCGCCGCCGGCGCCCGCCCCACATCCCGCTTCGGAAGCCCCGTGCTCGGGATGCTGCTGGGGCCGCGGGGCTAAAACGGGGCCTATCTGCTTACGTGCAAGGGCTGCGGGCATCTGAACGGGGCACAATTGCTGGAACTCGCATTCCAAATAGTTGAGTATCTCAATATCTGAGACTGAAATTTGGATGCCAAATCCAATATACCCTATTAGCGATAATACGCAAATATTTTTATTAGCAACAGATCCCACTTCTAATCTACGGATTGGTGCCTTTATTCTTACCTCAATTCTGGATGGAAGCTTTTTAGCTCCCCCCTGTCCACCTCGGTTCCCCTCATTGTTTGGGGATCGGCCGTCTGCCAGACGGTGTCGGATTTCTTCATATTAATTTTTAATATTTTATAACTGTCAACTTTCATTGACGAGGTGGCCTGTGTACCAAACCAGCACTGTTATGTCAAGGGTTGCAGATTCGGATCTCACCCTGATCGTGTATTTTGCCACGTGTAGGTTGTGCGGAATAAACAAGATTACACCTCTTAATATACAGCAGGAGTATAACAGGAAATAATATAGTTTGGGAAGAAAAAAACTAATTTGTATTGAAGTGTTAATGTTTTGAAGTTTCTCGACTTGAAGTATATTTTAAGGAATTTTAATTTCAAGGAAAGGTTTTAGGATTTGGGGAATGGCATACTCATCTTCACGATATGGATGATAGAAATCAGTTCTCCTTTTTCCAAGGAGACCACTGATTTCTCATGCGTTCACTTAATGAATATCTCTGGATAAAAGTTGGATGGTAAGTCCAAATATGAAATATGTTGGTCATTTTATTAATTCTTTCATTACATGCATGAAGAATTTGAGGACATTCATTTATACACATAACTAGATGAAAATAAATATGAATAAATATATTATTAGTGAATAATATTAACTGATATTGAACAATCAGGGTCGGCTTGGCATTTGAGAGAACATGAATAATGAATACAAGCGTAACATATATCATTATGACAAGAGAAATACTAATTTGATCATGTAAGCCTTGTGATCTCAACGGGGTAAGCCGATAGGCAGTTGTATCTCATTAATCAATCATGCAACAAGGTAGTGCATGTGAAACACTTATAGCGTGTGGGTGGTCTGAAGCTCGTAAGTGAAAAAGAAATGAAAAATCAAGCAGAAGAAATAACTGATTTAGAGCTGTGTGTTGTAGCCTATGGCCTCTAATTGTATGTTTACTTGTCAGAAAGCGAAAAAAATAATCACCGAGAGTCTTGGAATGTGAGTTGAAATTGTATCCGTACTGTAATTGGGCGACTCTAAAATATAAAATATGAATTTTGATTAATACTTTTCTGAAGAAAATCGACATTGACCTCATACTCGTTGCAAAATATATAATGCACATTTCTTTTCTCCGTTGCTGATAAAAGATCCACCAGGAGTACACAGTCATTTTACATTTTTTATTAAGACCAATATTAAGTTTCTATAATGTCAAATTCATACATTTTGCAGTATTAATAATTTAATGAACTGAAAATTAGTTGGTATTAAAATTTTTTCTAACATTCAAATGAAATGAATTTTATAATTGAAAATATACTCTTAGAAAAAGAAATGTACAAAAGTGTTTACTACTGAATAACTTGTATTTGTTATTTTATATAATTTATTTAATTTTGTTAGCTTTATTGTATAAATAAAGAGAAAAGGAAAATTTAGACAAGCATATTATGTATTTTTATACCTTGTAATCATTGTAAGAAGTTGGACGTACGTTATTCTTCCGAAGAAAGTTAGTGAAACGAACAATTAAGTAATTTCACACCATTCATTTTTTTTAAATTTTCGAGAACATAATGAATATTTATCAAATGAATACAAACTTGCTTTCATAAATTCCAGTTTAAATATAAGAATTATAAATTACATATCCTTACATGGAATAATAAATAATAAAATACATATCGACACCTTTAAAAAACACGCGAAAATAAATCTAAAAATAAAATGTCAAAAAAGGCTAATTCTAACTGAAGCCATTTACAGGAACTCAAGATAAATGCATCAGTCTTGCTGTGACTTTGAAATGATTAGAATAGTTTTATGTGTTACAATATTTCTGTGATGTGGTAAATAAAATTAAACATTTATTTTCTAATCTCATTTACATTAACTTTCTTTAACACACAAGTTTCCTTGACACATCCCTAAACCCACAAGATACGAACATAGAAGACCCTGCAGAGGCACAGAGGTGGTTGACTGTCTTTACAAGGTCTTCTTCCTTAAATTCTTTCAAGAAAATTCTTTAAATAACACAAAATCTTAAGAAAGAGGGGCTTAGGTATCTTTTCAAAAAAGTGCCGATATAGGATTAGCTAAGATAACCCTGTCTGCCATCAACACGACTTGTACGAGGCATGCAGGCGTCCATGGAAGGCTCTGCATAGGCACAGAGGTGTTTGGCAGACTTTACAAGGTCTTTCTTAACTCTAAACTCAAATTCCTTAAATTGTTTCAATAAAATTGTTTATATAGCACAAAATCTTAAGAAGGAGGGCCTTAGGTTTATTGTTAAAGAAAGGTGCCGATATAGGATTAACCCAGTGTGCCATCAACACGACTTGTAGGAGGCGCAGCTCCTCCGCGAGAGCCTGGTGCCGCGCCGGGCCTTGCCGTCCATGGCGCCGAGCAGGCGGCGCTCCATGGCCTCCATGCTGGCCCGGAGCTCGTTGCGCAGGCGCGTCATCTTGACGCACAGCGCCCCGGCGCCCTTCCGCCGGTTGATCACCACCTTGATGGCCCCGTCCACGGACCGCTTGAAGCTCCAGTTGCACATGTGGAAGTACTCGTTGCTGTCGTCCGGCCGGCTGATCACCACGTTGTTCTCCTTCCAGTTGGGGTAGACGCGGATCTCCTTGCTGTTGTAGAAGAACGGGAAGATGAAAATGCGGTGGTAAACGTGCCTGATGCACTTCAGTTTGAGGAACGTCTTTAGCAGAGTGGAGTTGCGAAGGTGCAGGAGAGAGTTTTCAATTTGAGAGATTGTGCGCACCCGGGCGACCAGACTGAAAACTTCCGCTTCTTCTTTAATCGCTTGGGTGTCGCTAACTGCAAGGCCGTTGAGAAGATTTAAAAGTACGATGGAAATGAGGAACACGAAGACGATGAAGATAATGTGACTTGTCACAGGAAATGTGGACAAAGGAAGGTCAACCGCATCAAATTCTCCGGCCATCATGATTACTGTTTTAAAAATTGCTCTCCAAGGATCTAGAAAGAAACTGTGCACACTTCCTGCTGTATAAGCTTGTCCGTTATTTAGCAAAATGCAGAAAGTAAAAGAGAAGCCTATCACAAGGATGGAATACCAGGTCATAAATTTAATGAATGTTACACATACTCTTTTCAGCATCTCTAACTGGATGGACAACATGGGCATATTTCCCGTAAGGAAAAATAAGCCTAACCAAGACAACAGAACTGCTAAAGCAGAAATATGTTGTCTGGCAACATTGTTTGGCAACAGAAGAACTGCAACTACTGCGATAACTAGAAGGAATTTGACGCAGAATTCAAAACAAAAGATGTGCTTGCGACAGGACATCAACATGTGTAGGCATTCTCTACTCAAAAACACGATCAAACATGCAATTAATATAATTTCCAAGACCAGGTATCGATTCTCATCGCACTCGGGTGGAATTGGAGAAACTGTTGGTTCCAGAGGCTTTGAGAAAATATTACCGGTTTTATTGAACTTGTTGCATCCAACGCTGGGCCTCATGATGATGTAGTAGTTGAGAGAAATGAGGAATATCGTGTAAGTGAGGATGTTGCAGTAAAATATGTACTTGATCTTGTGCCACTTCATGTTGAGGAAGAGTGTGACCACCGGATGCTTCAAGAGATGCCTCGTGCATCTCATGTGACTGAGTTCCTCCAGCACATGCATCTCCGACGTGTACACGCAAGTCTTCAGCGACGATGTGCAAGATTCGGGATCTCCAATACCGGCCTTTCTGCATTGCTCCGATATATGAGCAGGAGAAGTCGGAAGAAAGGTGTATGTGAAGATCATGCTGTACATGTACTCTTGTGGCGATTTGGCATTCTTCGACCTGAAACACAATACGGAATTTCGTTAGTAAAAATTTCATTTAAAAAACTAATTAATTAAACGTAATTAAAAAAATTAATATAAATGCCATTAAAATGGGATTATTTTACTATCTTAGAATACGTATAACAATTAATTGTAAAATTGATAATGTGATTCAGTTCTTAGCATTAATTTACAAGACAGAGACATGTTTTTCTGTGGAAGGACACATTTGTACTTCACGTGGCTTCCAGTCCAATCGTTACAATACAATACATAAGCAATAGGGAAGCGAACATATTTTGGAAAAAAAGCAAACAAGCGAGAGGTTCGTCTCGTACGTCCTGGCGCTGATGACTTTCAGCGCCGTGTGATGTTCGCTATAAAAAAGAGAGAGAGGGAGAGTCAGAGAGAGGGAGAGTCAGAGAGAGAGAGAGAGTCAGAGAGGGAGAGTCAGAGAGAGAGAGTCAGAGAGAGTCAGAGAGAGAGTCAGAGAGAGAGAGTCAGAGAGAGTCAGAGAGAGAGTCAGAGAGAGTCAGAGAGAGAGTCAGAGAGAGTCAGAGAGAGAGAGTCAGAGAGAGAGAGAGTCAGAGAGAGAGAGTCAGAGAGAGAGAGAGTCAGAGAGAGAGAGAGTCAGAGAGAGAGTCAGAGAGAGAGAGAGAGTCAGAGAGAGATAGTCAGAGAGAGAGAGTCGGAGAGAGAGAGTCAGAGAGAGAGAGTCAGAGAGGGAGAGAGAGTTAGAGAGAGAGAGTCAGAGAGTGAGAGTGTCAGAGAGAGAGAGTCAGAGAGACAGAGAGTCAGAGAGACAGAGAGTCAGAGAGAGAGAGTCAGAGAGAGAGTCAGAGAGAGAGAGAGTGTCAGAGAGAGACATAGAGAGACAGAGAGAGGCAGAGAGAGACAGAGAGAAATAGAGAGAGAGACAGAGACAGAGAGAGGTAGAGAGAGGCAGAGAGAGGCAGAGAGAGGCAGAGAGAGGCAGAGAGAGGCAGAGAGAGGCAGAGAGACAGGGAAAGAGAGAGACAGGGAGTGATAGAAGAGATAGAGAGAGATAGAGACAGAGATAGAGAGAGAAGAGAGATAGAGAAGAGACAGAGAGAGAGAGAGGGAGAGAGGGTGGGGTGGAATGTCTCACCTGAGGCACTCGTCGAGGTGCGTCTCGAGCGTGCTGGCGTTGATGTCCTTGAGCGCCGTGTGGCCGAAGCGGTCGCGCACGCCCATGAAGGCGCCGCAGCGCAGCAGCGTGAGCACCATGCGTTCGTCGGCGTAGCGCGCGGCGTAGTGCAGCGCCGTGCACTGGTAGGTGTCTGCGGCGTCCACGTCCACCAGCGCCGTGCCGCCCCCGCCGCCGCCGCCGCCGTGGCCGTAGATGCAGCTGCCCCAGTCGCCGCCGTCGGGGTCGCGCCCGGCCGACGCCCACTCCTCCGGGCGCGCCTGCCCCAGCAGCATCAGCACGCAGGCGCGCGCGCGCTCCAGGCAGTCCTCGCGCCGCGGCACCACCGCGTGGTGCAGGGCGGTGCGCCGCGCCTGCAACACCGCAACGGACACGCTCAGCTAGTCACGCCTAGGGGGAGGCGCCACATCTTCAACATTTTCGTTTCAATCTCTTTATATTACCGTTATGACGTATAATACAAAATTATATTATGATATAATTATAAAATGCTCAGGAGAAATGGCGGTATTAATCCTTTTATAAGAAGCAATCCCAAAATTCCGTGTGTGAGCTATTGCTGGAGAGAACAGCAACTCAGTCTTACACTCAAAGAAATCTAAGACGTAAAGAATTTATGTTTGCTGATGGGTAAAGCAGATGAGCATACAATTTACAACACACATTACGCTGCAATGTACCTTAATATCGTGCATAACTTGGAAATGATTCGCCTTAGGCCCCCGAAATTAGATTTCTCTTTCCATGCAACCTTCATTTGCCGTAACCTACAAAACGAAATTTTCTGAGCTGGGACCTTACATTTTGGTTTTCTATTACATTTTACCCTCACTTTGCCATACGATTTGTCAGAAATGTTCAAACTTGGCTTCCACTTTGATTTTAACAATAATTATCACTGGCTTTGGTGACTCAGAGCATTTACTCGCACTGATGTTTCTGCATGCCTCTGGCCCGGAGATCCTAGGGTTGGAGGACCGACGGTGGCAGGATTTTCGACAGTAGCTAGAGAGCTAGGTCGACTTCATCAGCTGTCTCAAGAAGAATTCAACCGCCCGGCTGGTCTGATCGATATTTTTCCGTGGTTTCTCCGAGATACACCAGACGAATGCCCTAAAAAACGGGCCACGGACCGCGCACGATTTTCTTTTCGTGTCCCTTATCCTCACTCCTTACAAACACTTTCACTTACGTGCACTACATTGCGGTTGACGGGTATTAATTACAATAATTTTCATAGTATTTAATGATCGCATAAGCCCAATTAGTAGCATAATAATACATTTTTTGTAATTTCATATTACATTAATAATTAAACTGAATGGTTTCACTCTCTTTGGCAAGTAATAGTCTTCTCTATGTTGATCTCTCTGCAAGTTTTAAAAGATCCGTATCATTATTCCTTTGGGTGTCCCCAAATTTTCTCTTTAGTGGGTCTCTGTGAATAGAACATATCTGAAATGCTGTGGTCTTTCAGTCTTTCCACACGAGATAGTTATTTTGTCAGAAAACATTTCATTTTACTGGTTATTTTTATTTCTTATTTCATTGTGAGATAAATAAAATATAATGGTGTCATGCAAACATTTTTTTCGTTTGGAACGTGAGTTGTAGAAAAAATATATAGTAATTAATATTGATATTTAAACAGTTAGCAAGTCCTTAACACTAGAACGATTTCTTAAATTACGCAGTTCATCCTAAATATTGATTGTGAACAAGATAAAATATTTCATGAATTTTAATTAGAACATAAGTGTTAAGCGGAGTAAACTCTACATGCACTGCATGTGCTGTAGTCCGTGGAGGCGCCCTGTTACTTAATTAGCAAACTTCCACTACTCTCTAACAATGTGTTTGTCTTTGTATATTGGATCATATGGTCATGGTTCTGGAAAGGTAATTAAGTCCCGTTAATATTAGTCCGAATGTAAGCTTGACTCGTAGGAACATTGTCATTCTCTTCTCACATTATACCGTCTTCAGGAAAGTAGGTTAGGTTTATTTTACTTCGCAAACTGAAAATCTAATGAAAAATGTAGATGTTCTTTAAGGTGTTGTCGGTCTATAACCATTTCTTAATGGTGCTTTCCCCAATTAGTTTACTTTAACGGAGTTCAGTACATTCATACATTAAATTGTTATCCTGAATTAAAGCGCAAGATAGCGTATGTGAGCAATCGGAATAATAAGATGCAGAGATACATGCAATCGTGAAACTCGAAGGGGTGCAATTTGATTTACTGTTTGCGTCAATAAGACATTTCAGAGTTGCATTATCTGACAAAGGTTCCATGAGTTCCACATTATTTTATTTTAACACTAGAATCGCCGGAACCATGCATAAAGCTAGAACCGCCGAAGAAGTCATTTTGATATCTGTAATTAATTCATCTTCAGAATAAAAGTATATTTATTGCAAGAGAGAAATGTTTTCCTATTTTGTATGATATGTACTATTTTCCTTGATCAACCGCAGAGCTAATAACTTCAAGTTGAGAAAGCGCGCAACCCATGTTTCTACGCTGAAAAAAAACTCGAAATTGCGGAGACATACCATAAGACACGACCCATCCTTAATCGTTATTACTGTGAGAGAGGCATTTCACTCTGAAGGGGGTTACACGACGGAGTCATCCTGTGTGACCTCAAAGGTCTGAGGTATCATTGGCGGACAGGTGAACACGGTTAACTCTTAAGACAAAATATCTCTTTGGAAGTGGTCGTATCGTGAGATCCAATATTTTCTGATATGATAACTATTGTTACTTCATTATTTATATGAACTTATGTTCTCAGATTCGTCAAATTTTAGGTGTGCATTTAGATAGATTAAGTTCTGATAATAAAATAGATTTTACTTCAAAATAAATTGAAATGTATTGTGGAGTTATGATATTGAATCCCCTGCTCCACAGTTAGTAATAGCTTTCCCATAAGGTAACTCGAATCGCAGGACACTATACAGTATATCTCATAATAAATGATACAAACTTCTACGACAAGCAAACTTACAACTTCTATAATATGCGAAGGGTCAGAAAACAATCACTTTTTGCTAATAAACATAAAGTGGTAAATTGCATATAGCTGATTTATATCCATTTATACAACAGATATTTGCTCCTGATTTTTAGACACTTTTTTTTTCTCAAATGTTCGGCAAATCCCGGTCTTTTGACGTCAAGGAGATTTCAAGGTCTTCAGAAATTATGTCAGCTGATATTTTTTTCAAGACGTTGAAACCTCTTTGACTGCAAAAGACGGGAACTGCCGAAAACATCTGCGCTTATCAGTTAAAAGTCAGGAGCAAATTCCATTTATATAAATGCATGTAACCCCGCAATTTGCAATTGCCCACTACATGCCAGTGTGCTTAGAGTGTTCATTTATGAGCCCCCTACACGCCGTAGAAGTTTGTGCCATTCATTCCGCAGAGCGGCATCGGCTGACCTCGTCGAGCTGCGCGGGGCGGGTGCGCGGGTCGGCGAGCAGCAGGGCGACGGCGGCGGGGTTGCTGCTGGCGCAGGCGGCGTGCAGGGGCGGCAGCGGGGCGGCTCCGGCGGGCCGGTGGCGCATGGGGGCGTTGGGGTCGGCGCCGGGCGTCCGCAGCAGCGGCTCCAGGAAGGGCGCGAGGCGCGGCGAGGTGCAGGCGGCGTTGACGCACTGCCCAGGACCGGCCGCCGCGCCGCGCCGCCGCCGCCGCGCGCGGTGACGGGGCGGTGGCGCGGTCGTAGGGCCGCGCGAAGCCCCGCGCGTCGCCCGCTCGCATCGCCGCCAGCACGGCCGCCTCCAGGTCGCTGGCGGCCGCCTCCAGCGCCGCCGGCGCCGGCGGCAGCGACGGCGCTTCCGGGATGGGGTCCACCACGAGGAAGTTCATGGCGGCGTGGTGGCGGTGAGCGCAGTCGAGAAGGACCTGTGGCAAGAGGTGAGAATGAATTCTAATGTGTCATTTGGTCAGATTGCGCAAGAAAACTTAAAATATTTTTGTCACTACGTGTTGTTCTTTTTAAGGATGTGTATAAACCATTGATTGAATTGTTCTAAATGTGAGTTCAAGAGCGTGAGTGTATTCTCGTAAATGTTATTGCAAAGAATACATCGAGAGGGTGTCCACAATTAGGAAGTTTGTGATGGTGGTGGTCTAGACAACCGTTTAAGCCAGTGACACCAGACAACAAATTCTAATACGTCGTATTACGTCGTTTCATCAGCGTGACAAACGAATGTAAGGTTTTATCATTGTTGACGTTTTCCTACGTAGAAGTTTTCCTACAAAGTAAGATTCTCGTATGTAAATGGCTAATGAAAAATGTGATAAGCGTATGAACGTGATCTTGCAAGTGTGATTCCAAAGTCACAAACTATTCAAATGTATGGAGATATAGAAGTTTGAAATGTTCAAATTTTATAGCATCAATACACGGTAGTCGAACACGTTATGCCAAAGGGACTTGTAATCTTTAAAAAGCTCTTTTAATCTGAAGGAACGACCTACTAGTGGTATCAGAACACGAGGTATTGTGTGTTATAAAAATCTACCAAATGCAGTTAGTGCTCAACGGGGAAGGTTATAAGTACTTACTGACGATGTTTACCTGTACAGTGTTTCTACAGGTACAATTACTCTTGGTAATTGCTTCACTGCATGCTTACACGGTTTCATAGCTTATCTCTTAGGAATATTAGTGCTCTTTTAAATTTAATAGGTTTACATTTAATTACATCGTTCCTTTAAGGCCGTGTAACGCTCCTGACCCGCCTGCATGGCTGATATCGTTGGAGTGTGTACCGATTCGGTCTGAAGCCTCTGAAGACCTCTACCTTGGGAGCAGATATTATTTTGCCCTTGGGTTTTACACGCTGTATTGCGGAGAGTACCGCTTTGTGCTGACCTATCACACCTAAGTGAATTATTATCTAATCTGTGTACAGTCCTGCAAGTTTTCTAATCAGCGATCCATTGAGTCTATGATCGCGAATAAGTAATAATTGAGTCGTGAGAGAAGTTGGCAGCATGGATTGCTATTCAGCGTACACTGATTAGCAATTGTCTACGTGATGGGTTTATATTGGATGGATATTACACATAATAATTTCAAGGAAACGTTGGCGGTAGGGATATTGACAAAGAATTATACAATACATTCGTCAGAATAGAACATCCTTATTTAGAAGACTAGTTTTTTGATTCTTCTCTTTTCAATATTTAAAAATGAACTACCATTAACTGAATAATAGTGACTTGTTTTGTATTAATTCACTTACTAACTAGAAATTTGAATTCTTTTTTTCTTAAACGCAAGATAACAATGTATGATCTGATTTTTATGATTAAATTTTTAATGTATCAATTTAATTCAAACATACATGTGTGAGTTTTCTTCATAGACTCCTATTTAGGTGACAACATGATTATTAGCAGGAAATGATTGTGTAACTTACACGGGTGTTTTCTGAAGTCGTAACATGTCATTTATGGCTATCCCGTACCGTGCAAAACACATTGAAGGGAAATTAAAGCCACTCGAAACATTTGCGATATTTTAGTGTAATCCGGGTTTCCAAAAGGCGATAGCTCTGGATTTACTTATACTTGCGTACATTGTGTATTTACCAATAGATATGGAAATGCAAGGTACATTCAAACCAGCTTGATTCGGGCAGAACTATTGACAAAGTAAATTAATGGGTTTTTGTATCAAAATACCTAACTAACAGGGAATCAAGCTGTTTAAAGTTAGAATAATTAAAAGCAACTTTATCTTCAGACTTGCATATAAAAATGAACTTGCACATATAAATTAAAACTACGTAACTATGCTTTTATTTGTTTATCATAATCGATTATTTAGGATATAATGTGCGTATAAATATAATAGAAATCGGCGAAAGGAAACTACAAGAAAAATATTTTACTAGATAAAACTTGTGACATGAAAAATACACTTAGATTTAAAGGAGCGACAAGATTCATTGGCGATGTTGCTATTATCAGTTCACTTAAATTATATGTAGAAGTCATTACTCACTTGGATAAAGGAAGAAACTGAACTTATGGACTATTCAGGGTTATCTGAGTGAAATATATCACCTTGTTGAGTGCAAGGAGGTTAACTGGGTGATCATGAGTGCGAAAGTGCTCCTTCAAATTTTTTTTCACGGAAAATTATTTTATCTAATTTGTATTTGCATGTACAAAGCATATAAATAGTCTTGTTATAATAATTATTTCATCAGTAATTACAAAGTGAGATCATCAGATGAAATGTAATAACTGACCGACTGAAGTGAGCTCTGTTCTATACAGTAATATAATAGTGATATGATTGAAATATAAATTAATACTGTTATGTACAGGAGCAGAGCTGACGATTAATTAAAATGTTCTCTTGCTATGCTTGTATAGATTTATCTTATGTTATCACCATCTAGCTGCTAACAAATTAATTTTAATAAATTTATAAATAAAATATTTAATTAAGGTAATTCATCTATTTATTTGTTTACTATTTTGACTATTATCTAAAATTATGAACGAAGTTTCACAGACTGCATTCTTGGACAACAAGTGTTTTACAGTCGCAAACTCAGTATTGCGAATTTGCAAGGCAAGTTATTATAGGTGATAAAATATTCTAGCAAGGCTCTTAGTTCTTAGGAAACGCTGACTTCACTCGCCTGCACCTCGCTTGGCTGTAACTCTCAAACCAGTGTAATCCGATGCCCAATGAGCACCGGGCCATTCCGAAACAAAGACGGGTGGAGTATAGTGCTGACCAAGGCACTTATTTCACCCGCAGACAGTCTAATTTGCAAATCCTTACCTCGTTATCTTCCTCGGCAACTTTGGAACTTGTATTACGTGACAAATTTGCTCCTCGTTATTGTTCAAGGGAATATTAAGATTTTCTTTACACTGCTACGCGTCTGTAATCACGAAGTTCTGAAAGTGGGACGCTTGAGACGAAAAGTTGGGAACAATCGGAACCACCAACACACAATACCGAGAGTTCGTCTAGGGTGACTGCTTCAGGCAACAACAGCAAGAGCTGGTCCCAATAATTGGGCGAAATGAAAGATTCGGAATATTGAAATGACGATAAATAAGAGATTTCACTTTTGATTTAGGAGCGAGCTTCGCGCCTCAGACGAATACGCCAGTATGAATCGCCCCATTGCCAACGACCTCAGCAAAATTGTGGTTCCTGCGGCCACTTCGCTATCGCGTGATCTATATCTCGGTCGGTGATTTCGAAAGTTGGAGTGTCAAGACTGTTTTTTGTTTTACGCCTTCAAAGATTTAATGAGGGACCACTTAAACGTAATTTATTTCTCTCCCAGATCCCGTTACTCCAGTCGATTTGTATTGCGGGCCTTCGCAATAGCTAGTCGGCCGCGGCAGGTTACGCCTAAGCCTCTCCGTATTCTTCGTCGTTCTTCTTCTGTTCGATAAACAGCCGCGACGCGCGTTGGGGTGTCTCGCGGCAGTATTTATTCTGTCGAATCCATTATATACGGTCCGTCGATACGGTTGGCGTAGGTTTGTATTCGCTATCGGAGAACATTATAGTCGTCCCGCAGGAACCAAACAACATATTATTCTTCCAAAACGCCCCAAAAATCTGTTGAAAATTTCGGCGCAATCTCGCGCTAATTTCTCGTGTGATAGCGCAGAGCGTGTGCTAATGAGAGCGAGAGCTAGCACCTCTTCCGTTATCTCCGCGTGTTTCCGTATCTCTCGCACTAAACCGTGGCTTCCCCATGCGGGCAATACGGGGTTGCAGGGGACTCCCACGATGGTGGCTCGGCTCGGCGCGGCGGGCGTTATCTGAAGTATGGAGGGCGCGGGCGCCAAGCGACCGCGGCCCGGTGTCGGGCGGACAAGAGGCGGTTATCAGGGCCGACACGCTGGGCCACGCCGCTCGCACGGGGCCAGACAGGGCCGGGCCGTGCCGTGCCGTGCGCGTGGGGTGCTGGGCGCGAGACCCTGCCGCCACGCCCCGGCGATCGAGCGCAGTCGCCAGCTTTAAACCATCGACGACGTCCCAAAAGGGTGATTCTGCCGAAGAGGCGGTCATAATATCCTCATTTTTCCGGAATACTGTTGCATGGCAAAAAAACTTCTTTTATGTAAGAGGGAAGTAATTTAATTTTCCCTAAACTTCACTTGCTTCCCATTAATCGAGATCCAGTGATATCTCCTTGCAGATTGTATAAAAAAATTACTTATTTTTCTTTGTTTTTAATTTATTAAAATTGAATTCTTAAACTCCGGATTTTGGGGCTATTTTGGAACATATTAGACCCATTTAAATTGCAATACTGCTCTACTAATTATCCTACCAAGATTTTTTAGTTTGTAAAACACATTTTGAATGGATCATTTTTCTCAGACTTTAAGCACTCACTTTAAGCTGCGTGACTTACCCATGCCGAGAAAAATTGTCCTAATGATTTGCATTATTAATTTTCTTCGGAGGGGCAAGTTATTCCCCATCTCAGAAACATGTATAGAATTTGGGTGCAAGATTTGTAGTAATTTAATAATAATAATAAGTTTATTCAAACTGCAATTGGGTATAACACGGTGACAGGTAATTACATAAATATGGTATATATAACATGCAAATTATACAGTAATAATAATAATAATAGTATAATAATAACCATTGTAACAATAGGAGCAACTAAAAGACTAACGATAATAGCATAATAACAATAATAACAACAACAACAATAATAATAATAATAATAATAATAATAATAACAATAAAAACAATAATATAAAACCTGACTAATTCATATAACATTAAATTACCTTTAAAAAAGGAACTTCTATAATCTAACTCCGCGTTGACCGTGTGTTCAATTAAGACCACACTGCACTTCACTTCCTTCATTATTTTTCTGCTCTACACTGCACGACACCTCACTCAACATATATTACTTATGCTTCGCTCTATAATATACTATTCTTAGTCCCTCGTTTACTTAGTTATACTCTGAATTAATTTCCTAAACTGTTGAATACTTGGAGGAAATGGTTCAAAGGTTTTTGCAGGCAATCTATTCCATTCTTTTATCTTTCGATTTGTGAAAGAAAATTACCCGATATCTGTTCTCTGCGGTCTTAGCCGCCGGACTAAACTACTGATGTACGTAGGAATAATTAGCCGCCGATTAATTTCTTTCCAAGCTGGATGACCGCTATAAGCCTTACATAAAGCGCAGAGCCTTGTTACTGATCGCATGTTTTCGAGTAATTGGCTATCAAATTTTGGGTATCTGAACATAAAATACTTAAACATTTGAATAATGTCACGATATTGATTGCTTTTATTTCCGCATTAAATCTAGTTCATGCTCTCTGGGGCAATTGCCAATAAAATTTACGTACTACTTTTGTCCATAAATCGTATTTTTATTTTACATGGCTCTTATTGTCAAACTTTGGAATGCTATGTGTCCAATTTCATGATCTGTAGTAATATTTCATCTTAATGGAATGAAATATGTGTTTGAAAGAGAAGCAAGTTTCAATCAGTGCATAATATATTATATAGGAATAATAGTATCATATTTTCTTCTACATCTGTTTTCTCCCTTATATTTATTGTAGAAATGTTCACGTATATGTTTTGATCATATTATTTTCTCACACAATATCCAGTTCTTTCAATGAATAGAATTTTTTTTTAATTTAACCAACATGTTCAATACCCAAAGTGCCTGAGTTAAGACCACTTCTGATTGCACCATTTTTATAAATGTTCAATATCTTCATATTGCCTTGTGATATGATTCGATACATTAATAAAGCTCTTTTGAATTTTCCTCTAACATAACCTTTACTTTTTTAATACAATTATGAATTCAATGACTGCATTGTAAGTGCATCTTGCTTTTGACGCACTACACTGAATCTTCTAAAAATAGATCAAGAACATAAAGTATTCAAGGTAAGATTTTTAGTTTATAAAACACATTTTGAATGGACAATGTTTCTCTAACTGAAGGCGCCCATTTTAAGTTGCACGACTTACCCAAGAAAAATTGTCCTAATGATTTGCATTAATTTTCTTCGCAGGGGCAAGTTATTCCCCATCTCAGTAACATGTATAGAACCTCTATTAATGAAGCTCCGAGTAAGTCACCTCATTCTCAGAACTGCCTCTGTTGCATATAATTTCATGGCCACGAAGCGACTAATGCGATCGGCTTCGCTCCGAATCGGTTTTGCTAATGTCACGGCCGGATGGGAGAGGGAGTGGCTCTAGAGGCGACTGTGACGTGAAGATCACACAAAAGGTCACTGATATAATTGAACAGGCAATTGAGCTCAATTGCTACTAGGTGTTGGCTAAAGAACGATACAATGTGAAATGTTTGTACTTTAAACAATGGAAGATGCGGAAGAGTGAATCCAGTTTAATGAGGATCAAATACAAGCTCGGTCAATAACTATATACAAGATTGTTCATTACAGCATAGGTAAAGTATTTTGCATTTTAGCGTGTGAATGACTAAAACTTTCCCAGTAATATTATATATATATACTATAATATATATATATATATATAATATATATATATTATTTACAATAATATACAATTATTACATTATGTAGAATTCAGAAAGTGAAATGGATAGGTTATATTGAATGCTTTCCTCAGGATTTCTCAGGGCTTAGCCTGAGGAGGTCGCAGATGGCGACCGGAACGTTTGCACCTTCTGCCATGGACGCGCATACCCGGACAGCCTAGTAAATACAGAGAACTTTACCTCTATTTTTATTGAAAATATATTTATAAACTCTATTTATTTAATAGAAAGTCACCAATGAACGCCATCGCGGTCAGCACACGCGAGTGTCGCTCTGACCGTTCGGTAGCTCGAGGCAGACAGGCGGGCAGGGCGGCTCGGCGAGCGGCGCGCACGGGAGTAGGCGCGCGAAACACGTCATGCGTCCCGACGCCTTCGCCAGGCAGCATGGGGCGCGCGAGGGCGGCGCGGCGGGGCGGCGGGCACGGCGCAGGTGGCAGAATACTTATCGGCGCGGCGCGCGATTCAAACGTAAGTCGAAACGCTGTCTCGCGTGGCCGCGGCCGACCGTTACGGCAGCGGAACAACGGCGGGGAGGCGGGGCGGGGCGGGCGCGGGGGGGCGGCGGGGGGCGGGCGTGGGGGCTTGCGGCGCTGGGTGGAGCGCTGGTGACGTGGGCGGGGGTCGCGCTTGGTGGAACGGGGCGGGTCGGAACAGGGCGGGTTTGGAGCGAGGCGTGCCAGGGGTAGGAAGGGGCGGGGCGGGGGCGACGGAAATGGGCGGACGGGAGTGGATGAGTCGGGTCGGGTGTGGCGGGGCGGCAAGAGGGGGAGCCGATGCGGGTCGGAGCGCGGGCGTTGGAGGGCCGTGGCAAGTCCCAGCGAGGAAAGAAGAGGTGAGGCGGGACGGGGATGGGTGGAGCAGGACATAGATGGGTGGGTGGAGGGGAGAAGGGGGAGTGAGGCGGGGCCGCGCCAGAAATAGCGCACCACGAGGACAACGCCGAGGGATAAGGAGGGACAAGAATGGTATCGGGGCGGAAACGTAGGTGGAGTGTTGGATTATCTGGACATTTGGATTGGGATGGAATAGAGCGGCGTTTCTCGACCCACGTGCCTTTCATTGGGTGCTACATGCTGAGTCTGAGAGGAGCATATTGGGCACGTGTCTCCGCTGTTCCTCTCCTGGAGTCAAATACTCTCCCTTTTTCTCTTTAGTGGTTAGATTTGATTATGCAAGCACGGAGGCGAACACATTTAAGAAATAAGGAAAGTTAATGTCATCTTCCATTTTAGCGTTTAGTTGAAAGAACAATTTATATTGTTTGAAAACCGTTTATTCGACTTCAATTACAACAATGTTGACTGAATATTCAAAGAATCGCAGGTGTATTTCCAAATTCTGTCTACCGTGTTCCGAGTGATTCCTAAGAAATGATTTTTTATTGTTTCTGAATAAAAGGAATTGAAAATGGTAGTTGTTAGAGAAATCAAGCCAGGAAAGTTAAGAGATATTTGACAAATTGTTATTGAAACTATAGAAGAAAGAATGTAAATATAGAATATATGGAACTAATGTAACTCAGAGAACAATAACATGAAAGCTGAAAAGTAAAGAAAACTTAACGATATGGCAACAATATTACGTATAATACCTCAAATATGTTAGATATAGCAATTTTGAAATTTAAATAAGAATTAATAATTAAGTTAGCCGCGTAATGGAAAACAACGTATTACAAATTGTGTTTCAGATTATGAAAGAATTATTTAAAAAACAAGATGTCCTTAGATTAGCAGAATGATAATTTCGTACTTCTTACCCAAGTAACTTGTATTATTTAAGGCACATGAACACAGATTTTCTTATCAACTTAGCATTATTGAAAAAAAAACTGTAATAGAATTTGAATTCAATCTTCTCGTGTTTCCATTGTTGATATGTTTCCAGATACGAAACCGCCAGTTTTCTGAGTTAAGCTCAGTTTTCAATTTCGGTTTTGTACTTGGCTACATAAAGACTGACAAGTCAGATATGACATGAATGATTGTTTCCTCAATGTCGAGTCGCGACCATATGTTTGATGGAGTTTTATGTTCCTCCGCTTTAAACAAATGTCTGGTCGGAATAATCATATTAATTTACTCTTATATTTTACTGAAAATGTTTGCAGATAAAGATTCATGCAAGATATCCATTAGTAAGAAAGTAAACAGACTGTTCTTGTGTTTTGAGAATGATTGAGTGGAATACACTGTTAATCTAATAATATAAAAACCGAATGCTGCTACAACAGCAAGTACTTTCTCGCATTATCTCAAAATTTGCAATTTTCGAAAATTCATAGAGCTCAACAAAATGGAGCTCTGTAAAATATAGAAGTAAAGAACAGTGGATTACAAACATTAATGTTTGAATTTTTAATATGCACCAATATAAGGAAGTAATATACCGTAATTTCAATCGAAGTATTCAATTCCAAACATGATTATTATTCATCAATGATTTCAAAGGAGAACCAAATATCTTAAGTAGAATACTTGAGGCTCCGAGAGTCTTTAGTAGTTATGTTGAATTTCATGTCATGTAATAGTCGTAGCAATGAAGTTATTTTACTTAGTTTTTAATAATGAAAATATTTTTAAAAATCTTAAGTATGTTTGCATCGTATCGAATGTTCAGTTCAGAAAAGTCATGTTCTCTCAGTTTTTTTATACCGTAAGATCCTTTTACATTTTAGGTGTTTAAATTATTTTATACATTTTGTACTCCGAAATTATTTTGGATACACGCAATCATTTCGTCAGAAAGCATCAAGACGACGAGTACAGTAGTCGACGTACATGTTACTTAAACTTTCAGTGACTGGAAGTAGGACTGCTTCACTTCAGCACTCAGCACTCGCCGTTGGCCTTAATATGCTGCCAAACCCGTGTCTAATCACTGAATGGCATTGACGCGCGCAACCTGAAGTCGACAGCTTGTCTGGCGCTGACGTCCCAGAGGGCGCCAGGCTCCTCGTCGCGTCGTACCGAGCCGCTGGCCTTGACGCGAAGTTGTGGCTGAACCAGGGGGGGGGGCGGGAAAGGATGGCCGTGTCTCCCTAATTTTTCCTCCTACTTTTACACACTTTAATCAACAAAACATCTGTGGCAGCCAGCGAGAGGATGTTTTTCTGGCGTAACGTAGGGAGGTTGACGACCCATTTGATATCACTGCAGTACCTCTGACCGGGAGGTTCTAGGTTTGAGCCCCGACGGTGGCGGGAATTTCGACTCTAGCTTCTCATCTAGGTCAAGTTTAGTCGCTGGCTGACTAAAGGAGAATTTTAGCGACTGGCTGCTCTGATCAGTAGCTTTCGTGGTTTCCCGGATCAATACCAGGCGAATGTCGGACCAGTTCCATAACAAAAGGGCCACGGACCGCGCACGGTCTTCCCTTCCTCTTCCTTGTCCTACTCTCACCCCTTTCTTACGCACACTTACATTCACATGCATTCGACTACCACATGCCAAGAGACCGGTCGAGAGCTTAGAGCTTGTTCCGGGTGGGGCGGTGCCCCGCTGGTGGGATATACCGTTTTGGGGAAAACACCGCAAGCCGATGGTAGGTCGGCGCCGGATCTCGCCATCGAGCGAGAGAAGATCACCACCGCCTCCCGAGGAAACGTGCATTACTCTTACGAAACTAATGACATTAACAGCTGACGCGCCCGGAATCACTAACGATCGATGAATCATTATCGAGGATTCGATTCCAGACGGCGGAAATTCACTTTTTTATGACATTGGTGCGTTTTGAAGCCTGCCGGGAGAGGAATTCGTAGGCCGACAGCCCGGATCGGTGGTTTCCAGGACTACATCCTGGTAAATGCCAGGGCTGCATGGTACAAAGTGGGCCATATATCTCTCCTTTCAATTGTTTTCCATTGTCATCAGAGGCTTACCCGCGGTTTTTCACTTTGATGGAGGGGGGCTACATTTACAGTGCCCAGACGAGTTGATGTTTTCTTGTGGATAATTGTTCGTGTATACTCAGTATCGTACTATTCATGTATCCACCAAAGGCGTTATAAGTGTTCTAATAATCGAGTGGGCACAAAAAGCGACCTTCATTTTGTCTCCTGATATCTTTGGAAGCAGTTGACGTCCGTGGTATATACACTAATTTATTTTTTACCTATTCCTAATTATTCAGATTTACTTATTTGCCAATTAACTAGATGATTACTTGACTCAGTTTGTTTTCATATTTCTCTTCCTTAACTCCCTTTTATAAATCCTTTGGTTAGAGAGCATGTAGCATTATTCAAATGTTTCAACATACCCCACGTAACCACGATCCTGTGAATCCAGACAAGTTATGCAGTGTAAATCGCGCTCCGTATCAAATGCAATAACAAGTTATAATCTTTCGGTATGCTTATTTTTTTTTATTTGTTGACTTATAGTAAATATTTATAACGTAAATAATGTATATTATAAATTTCTTTCGTTGATATAGAAAATTAGGACGGGCTGAACCCCCATGAGTCTCCTCTCTTGGGTCGACTGATCATTACTATCCCATCATTTCGCCATCCTGGAGTGGGGTACCGTTATGCCTTGTCCTAACGCCCCCTCCTGTCATAGTGGCGTACTCGGGAGGGGAGGCCTTATAGACTCGGAAACTTCACAAGACTATCGCTTTTCCAGGATATGCTCCAATTAATACTTCTAATGTTATTATTACATTACATCATCACTAAAGTATAGTTCCAAATATGAATACACCTTTCATAATTTCAAGCTAACAATTTTTATGCGATATTAAAACTGCTTCTGTGGGGGAAAACTGAAAGAGCCCCACCTCCGTGAAATCTGTTCTGAATTGGCCTTTGCGAAGCAGGCGGCCGTCGGGTGGCGCCGCCGTCGCCCACGCGCGCGGCGAGAAAGCCCTGCGGCGACGTCTCATTTCATGCACGGGAAGAGGCGAAAGTTAACGGCGCGTGCCCTGCAATTGCAGGATACTGCCTTCTGCGTGGAGCCGACACACGTCTCAAGTGGGCTAAAGTTGCGAGTATCTTTCCAATTTATTTTGTATTACGTAGCTTTGTTCGCATGTAAAAAGAATTGAGTTAATGGGTAAATATTTCACAGCTAAGTGAGGTATTACATTATTACGTGATTGTTAGAAATGGAAAACAAAATATTCTTACAGGACGCTGTTGCAGATGCAGATAATTGTTTACGTGACTCTAGAAAATGTATTTTCTTCCATTTAGTTTTAAGTTTAAAAATCAGAAAAATTTTAGGAAATTTC